TTATGGTGGTGCTAGGTTGATGGCTGGACTAGAGGATCTTGAAGGTCTCCTCCAACTGATGATTTTGTGATTCTTTGATTTTGAGACTGACCCCAAAATACAGAAGGACTGGAACCAGTTTCTAACATCCTCAGGGGACATTGAAATCATCCCCCACAGATTGGTTGTTAATATGGAAGAAGATTCCCAGTAGTTTCCTGAGTCTTGTGTTAATTAATAACATTAATAACATCCACACTAGCAGATCACTACACTGTTCTCGTGTGAGGGCAAGAAATCTCTCCATCCACCATTCCTTCCCCTTCTCACATATTTGCATTTAAAATTATCTGGCGAATGAAATATCTATGGTTTGGCACAAGGCCTAGCAGAACAGGCCTTGATATGGCACAAAAAATAATAAAGTGAAAACAACAACTTTTCTAACCAGCTTGGGAAAGTAAACATCAAATGAAAAAAAATAAAAGACAGATGAAGATTTAGGAATTAAAAAGCAAATAAATTACTGAGAGTATTGTCAGGGGTAGGCAAAGGATGATGTGCATCAAGCAAAATAGAAGGGAGAAAGTTATTAACTGCATTTATTACGATAGTGTCTTTCAAATAATTAAGACTGCAGTTCCACTGTGGTAGGTACATATAAAAACATGGCCCCAGGACTATTACAGTGTAAACAGACATGAGACAAAGAACAAGGAGAAAGAGTACAATGAACCCCCAGAAAGATCAAGTTATTTGAGGACAAACAGCATGAGAAGGCTGCACTATTTCTTGCCACACTAAATTTAATTAAAAAGGCATAAAGTAAAATAAGGATCAGGTTTAAACTTAACAGAATTAAAGGGAAGAGAGAAGGAATGCAAGTTGTATGTTCTGAAGTACCTTGCTTTCATGCAGGTAGTTTTTATCACAGTGAAGAGGATTATTAGCTTTATTGCTGCTACTAACATTGCTGAAAATTATCTGTCTTATGGGGATGGTTCTCAGAGTGGCAATAGTAGCTAACTGCGAGCAGGGCTGCTGACAAGCTCTCCTCTAATGCATATTGCAGAGCAGATGATGAAAAAAATATCTCTCCAGGCTTCAGCTCTGCCAAAATTTCCCTTCATGCTTTTTCAAATTCCACGCTTGATTTCCAGACCATGAAAAGAGCAGTAAAAACCTTTTTTGTCTTGCCTTTTCTTATTGTGGAATATTTCACTCTCCACAACTGGATACTATAGAATTTCAGTAATTTATATTTCAAGAGATCAAACTGAGATCCAGTTTTCATAGGCATTCCACTGATGTAAGTGATGGCAATCCCTGTTCCCAAAGAGCTTACAACTCTAAAGGCATAAAGCCTGAGTGAAATAAGAAAAATGCACAGAAGAGCAGGATGGAAAAAACAGGCTTTATTTGCATATAATAGGGGAAACTACAGTTGTCATTCAGGCTCCTAACACAGCTCACCATCTATTTGGCTAATTCCGTTATTGGCACTTTTCCAAACTCATTACTGCAAGTGAGGAGTTTTAATGAGGATAAGGTGATATGAATGAACTTCAGATTGTGAACTGATTTAGTAAAGTTTTCTAGTTTTGCACACAATTACCATACGATGTCTTCTGTGAAGATGGAGAGCACAAAGAAATGACAGACCTCTTCTTACGTGTGTACCACAATGACAGTACAAAACCAACAAACCCATGAAATGAAACCATTCTAGGACCACAGTTAAGAACAGAAAGCTTTCAACTCAAAAAGATAAAGCTCAGATTTTCATTGCATTTCTTCTTCCTGGGCAGAAAATGGGGAGAGGAAAAAGGGGTCACGTAGCTGGCCTAAACCATATAAGCTAAAAAGTTCTAATTTTTTTAAATCAGGAAGAACAAGAAAAAAGGCCTCCCTCCCAGCTGCTTCGCATAGCTTCATTTTGTATTTAATTAGGAACACAAGCACACTTTCAGTCTGAGTGTTGTTCCAGCTCACACCCAGCTGGCCAAACAGCATCCCTCGATAGACACGAACATGGGCTTCTGAAAAGACCTCAGCACATGCTGCCCCTCCAGAGCAACAGGAGAACACCAAACTCCCACGCTGTTCAGCGTTTGACCCTCTTAGTGTGTTACAGCTGGGGACCCAACGTTTGCACATGAATTTCAGCTTCTTTGTCAAAGGTTTCTGTCTCCAAACTGGATGGAGGAGCTCACAAACCCAAGGCAGAGCTGCCTACCAAAGATGGTAACAAATCCAAACATCCAACACGCTTTCGGTCTGACTCACGGAACTGTACAATCGCACGCGCTGCTGACCCCTGCAGACACAGCTCGGCCGTGCAGTGCCCGCGCCCCGCACACACACGCAAGGCCCCGCAGTCGGGTCCCACAGCCCTATGGGTGGGGACAGAGGGACAGACGTACTATTGTACACAGCCCCGTGAAGTGCTGCATCGAGCTCTGGGGACCTCACACGGGAAGGACATGGGCCTGCTGTAGCGAGCCCAGAGCAGGGCCACAAAGATGCTCAGAGGGCTGGAGCACCTCTCCTATGGAAACAGGCTGAGAGAGAGTTGGGATTGTTCAGCCAGGAGCAGGCGCAGGGGAGACCTTATAGCAGCCTCCCACTGCCTAAAGAAGGCCTGTAAGAAACATGGTAACAGACTTTTTAGCAAGGTCTGTACTGATAGGACAAGGGGTTGTGGTTTCAAACTAAAAAGAGGGTAGATCTAGACTAGATATAAGAAACTTTTTACAAGGAGGGTGGTGAAACACTGGCATAGGTTGCCCAGAGAGGTAGTAGGGGTCCCATCCAAGTAAACATTCAAAGTCAGGATGGACAGGGCTCTGAGCAACCTGATCTAGTTGAAGGTGTCCCTGCTCCTCCTGCTTATTGCAGGGGGGTTGGACCTTTAAAGATCCTTCCAACCCAAACCATTCTATTATTCTATGACTCAAGTATGCACCTCAACACACAACACACACAGAAATCACTCAGCACCCACATAACCCCCACTCACAGCCACAAACTACCCTCCTGGGATGGCCCCTGAGCACAGTGAGGACCATCTCCCAGCCGTGGTCCTTACACCCACAACAGCTCCTACGGCAAAGACACTGAGAATCAACAGAACAATGCAGCCCAGTGGGTACACTCAGGAAAACACTATTTCCCAAACAACTGCACACACAGAACCAGGCACACCACACATGCATCAATATGGAAATGTGGGAACACAGGATGAATGCACAGATCCACGCATAAGCGCACGCATCCATCCAGAGACAGAAACTCTCTGTAAGAAAAACAAACTGGCAAGTGCCGAAACATATCTGTGCGTACCCAAGATGCGCACAGCACACAGGTACCGGCAGGAAGTGGGGCGGGGAGGATCAGTGCACGGGCCAGTGCACAGATACACAGAGACATACAGGCTGGAGCATGGGCACACACAGACTGGCCTCCAAGCACACACACACACACACACACAAGACCAGAGCACAGGCACTCGCACGCAGGCACACAGAAACCAGAGAACAGGCACACACATATCTGCGTACAGGCACACACACAGACTGGTGTACTGGCATACACAGACCTGGCGCACAGACACACAGGGACACACTCGCCCACCACACGCGCGCTCGCGCGCGCAAGAGGCGGCGCAGGAGGCGGAGGCGCGGGAGGAGGAAGTGGAAGAGGAGGAGAAGGAAGAGGAAGGAGAAGAGGCGGGACATTCCGGAACTTCCCGGCGGCCCGGGCAGGTCTCTCGGCTGCTGCCGCGGGCCTTGGCCGGCGGCTCGCCCCGGCCGGCAGGTAAGCGCGGGCCCCGCCGAGCCGCAGGGTCACACACACGGTCGCGCCACGGGTACACGCACAGTGACCTCCGCGACACGCACACCCGGGAACATGGACACAGCAGGGCGCGGTCACACCTTTGGCACCTGCAGCCAGACACGTCCTGCCAGCACGGGAACCCTGTGGGGTGCTACCGCAAGAACCACGGCTGCTCCTGCAGTGCCCAGGATGCCCGTAGCTGCCCGCTCATCAGAACTCCCTTCTAGCGGAGTCAGCTGTCTTGCCAACACATGGGCTGCGTAACAAAGCAAAACACACGTATCTGCCATGTTACACGAAAATAAATCCTTCTATACAAAGGGTAATTTCCTTTCAGACAAGTAAGACTGTATTTACTGGATTTAAATACCAACAGGAAATGAAGGATAATAAAGGCAAAATCATGTATTTAGCAGAGCAAGATTACCATTTCTTTAAAATAAACTGCTATTCCATTGCTGTGATCGTGATACTTAGTTTTAGAAGTCAGTAGCTGATAAAGCCAAGCCAGGCTCTTCTGAGTGGAAGATAAATTTAATTATATCATTTTATAATGCAGCAGCAATGCCCAGAGTACAGACGAAGTATGCAGTGCATGATCCAGAGCTGGTTTATGAAACCATCTTAAAAATAAGGATGTCTTGGCTTTTATGTAGCTGCACTGATGATGCACAAAGCTAGTTGAGTGTTGGCAGTGTGTGTTTAGTTGTAGGGCTGTTGTCACAGCCAAAAAAAAAAGCTGTTTTCACAGGGGTCATGTTTCTGGTCTGGAATTGGCAGAGGGAGAGCCCAGGGCAGGAAGGTACAGTAGCTCTATCAGTTGTTTTTAGACTCTGCTGTGGATATCCTGTTATTTCTCTTCTGTGCCCTGTGGCTAGCTTGAGTTTGGGATCCTGCTTTAGTACACAGCTGTATCTTACTACCCTGTTCATGAACTGATCTGGCACCACCATCAAGCAGTTTATACAGACTTTGCCCCTTCTGCAAAGATATAAAGTCCATTTCAGGCTCCAAACTATCTCCCTTTTCAGACTAAGTTTATTCACATGAAGGTCAGTTTACTTGTCCCACTGCTTGGAATTATAAATAGCTCCTTATCCTTGCTGACGGTTTGCACTTTTTCCATTACATGTATGCACATGGATACATGTTTACACAATGTCATATATGTAGATATATATATGTGTATGCATGTATCTATTTACACAGTGGAGTCACATTCCTTCCTTGGCAAAAGAGGTCACACTCTTGCCAACTCCTCTGATATGACGTGTTTGGTTTCCTGTATCATCTTTGGCTTTTCCTGTACTTGCTCCCTTTTAAACATAAAATCCTAAAACTGCAGATAATACTCACAATTTGCTCTTTATATCTAATGTTTTTTGCAGCTGTTAGAAAATGACCAATTTCTGAAGTTTTGAGCAAAATGGAAGTAATGCTCAGCTGCACCACAATTGCCAGGGGTATTCCACGAACCAGGAAAGAATGGGGAAAAAAAATACGATGGAACAGATGTTTCAAAGATCAGTTTCAATAGTCTTCAAGCACTGATATATTTTGAAGCTTGTTTTGAAAATTTATAGCTTCATGATTACTGTGCCAGGATAGACACCTGTAACAATTTATTTAAATTTTAATTTGCAAGTGTGGATCTTGGACATATGAATCTTGTTCTTCATTGCCAGCCCCTGTATTGCAGGCAAGTCATAGTTCTATCTGTTTTTCTCTTTTTTGCCCCACAAGCTTTTTTTATCATTCAAGAAGAAGAAAAATGTAAGTGTTTTTATTAGCTAGTTCTGGTGAAATACGTACATGCTTTCTGTCTGTAAGATATATGAATACTTTTTATAACTGGAAAAAGTCAGTTCACTATCAATAGGAATGTGCCACCCTAAATTTAATGTTTGTGGAAAAAAGGGAAAGTCATCAATACTTTAAATGTCTGATAAAACAGGTTTAAAATGATCCCTGTGGGTCTCTCCCAACTCAGCATATTCTGTGATTCTGTGAAATTCAGGCACTGTTTTCACTTTTGAAACATGACTGAATCAGTAGAACCTGAGCTTAAAAGACGGTAAGGAAACTTTTTTTCTAATTTTTTTTAAGGTTACTGAAATAATATTAGTGCTTAATCCATGTAAAACCAAGTAACTACCTGGATTACTTTCACAAAATGACATTTGGAAAACTGGGAAAAATACACAATTTTGGGTCAGTGCTATGAGAAGCAAGGTGCATGCTAGCTATGGAAGAGTTTTTAACCCTGGGATAAACCATGTTTTCAAGTATAGTAGTGGTTACTTTGTAATGTTTTAATGCCAAGGTGAAGGTTTTGCATGGCAGTCTTAATCTGTATGGTCAAAGCTTTGAAATTCCAAAACCTTACAAAACATAGAAGAGTCAGACTGTAGATGTTGGACATTGCACGAATTGCAGCTTCATTCACTGTTTGATTAGAGCAGTCCAGAATTAGTGTGGCTTAAATGAAAAACTTCCCAAAGAAAAGTATCAACCAGGAAAAAAGTTCTGGTGTTCAGATACTTAATGAAAAAATGTGGACTGAAAATATGAAAAGTGTGACATGCCTTTTTATTGGACAGCAAAATCTCCCTCTTAACCATTGGCTAATCTCTCCATACACGAACAAGCTGTTTAAGAGTAGATACTCCTGTGAGGAGAAAGGAACTAGAAGTATTGGATGCTTTTAAAGGAGTTCAGGCTCAGATTTTAAGATCCTGAAGATAACATCAACTTCTCATAAATTTTGCTCCTTAGTCAGACTTTCTCTCTGGGTTAAATCCCTCTGTATAGTAACACCATGCATCTTTTTAAAAGAGTAGTTTCAAGCACTAGGGTTTACTGAACTGGAGTCAAGTCTTCCTAATATAACTAGAAAAATGTGACTGATTGGGGTAACTTGTTTTTATTTCTTCCTCAGAATGACTGTGTTGTGCGCAATGAAACACTTATGTCAAGCAACCAGAAATGAGAACAGATACGCAAAAAGGTTCTTTGGTACTCTTCTGACACAGACACCACAAAAGTGGTTCTTTTTTCCATTCTGGATAGTGGTACCTGACCCCAGAAAGTCAACTGTGTTTGCACTTACTCAGCCATTTTGTACAGCTGAAAAATCTCAGACAGAACCAAAAAGGAATACAGCATTTGGAAGTGTTGGGCGAAGAATTCCCTATCGTATTTTGCATGTAATCAACCAGGATGGAGAGAGCTTAGGAAACATGCACCGAGCAGATGCACTCAAACTTATGGATCAACATAACCTGAAACTAGTTCTCCTTAAAGAGAATGTAGAACCTCCAGTGTACAGACTAATGACTGGGCAGCAGATCCATGAAGAACAGCTTAGACGTGCAGAGAAGAAAAAAGCAAGTCCAAAACCAGGTATGTACATTGTACACACTACAACACTGAGCACTTTGAAAAATGCTGCATTAAAAATGGTTCCAGCAGATTAAATCCTCTTACTTGTATTTGTGTAAATCCAAAGCAATGTCACTGCAGTCCATGCTATTAAAAATTTGCAGTGGTGAAAATAAAATTTTGGATTAGTCTTCCACAAAGAAGCCTTCTATTGCCTTCTCGGGATTTACTATTTTGGCATCTGCTGACTTTTTAGAAAAATATTTTTATTTAAGTGAATATAACTAAACTCTGGTTCTGTGAGAGTCAATGAATTTCTGTTCTTTTACTAAGGCATAGTGACAGGCTCTTTTTACAAACTGAGCACCAGATACACCAATAATATGTCACCAGTAGTCATGAAACACTCTCTTCCTCATTTGCTGCTAGGAAGACAAAGTCTAGAGTCCTTTCTTGGACAGAATAAGAGAAAACTTTATCAATATTGAACACTTTGAGGTTTCTTTTCCTTAAGACAGCCTGCTCCAGCAGGTTAGCAAACTGAGTTTGGCAAAGAGGTTTTACAAAAGGCATGTGACCTTGTATCCTCTCTTCTTATCCTCAGGCTAACAAAGACATCTGTGCTTTGGGTAGAGTTCTGATTATAACAGAGAGCACTATTGTGGTAGTGAGTTGCTCTGTTCAAGAAACTACGAAAAGATGATTCAAATGGTAACTACTTCAAATGAACTTTGAGGAGGAAGAGACCACAAAATGTTCAAATATATTACAAGGCATCTTCATGCTTTCAGTTGAATATTGCACTTCAGCATTCAATGAAATGGGCTCAAGATGAAGAGCTATCTCAAGTCAAAGCTCTTACCTTCAGCTGTGCTATGTGCAGAATGTAGGAGTCTGCACACTAAGACTTTAATTCCAGATCCAATGCTCACCTGTTTGTTAGACCTACAATGTGAATGGTATGAACAAGGCTGTAATTAAAAATACCTTAAGTTTTCTGACCCTGAAGAGATTTCCCTGTGTGCCTCACACATACACTCAGTCTCCCAGTTATGGCAGAGAATGTAAGAATATCAAGTAGCCACCCAGAGTGGTGCATGTTGAGACAATGAGAACAGGATGCTTTGAGAAAGCGGGATGGGAGGAGGGAGTTAAGCAGACAAAGCATTATGAGCTG